CACCTCTGCCTATTTGAAAAATTGTGGGAAAAATATTACAAATACTGTCACAATTGCAGAGGTTTTCTTGTGTGTGTTTGCTATAGGTGTATGTGTAGATGCCCAAATTCTTATTAGGCATACACACAAGCTTCATTCAGTGCATTTTTTAATTTAATATTCCATGATTGTTTTTACCATTCATTGATGAAATTACTACTGTTTTAGAGAATAATGCATGCTAGTTTTTCATCGCATTCATAGGGACTAATTCTGTATTTGACAAGAAATTGCTTGTGTTTGGCCTGGATTTACTGAACTTCATGCAGCGAGACAAAACCTCCCAGTATTTTCATGGCATTTCAGTGCACTGCTCAGTGTCTATTTATAGACAACCACTGCATATATTGAAGCCACCTATGAGCATTGTTACTGAAAACATGGGTTTCACTATGCTGGCTTTTTATTCACTTATGCATAGACAGAATATTCTGGTAGCATGTGTGCTGAATTCTTCCTCATACATGAGTTCAAATAACATTCTTTACTAAATAAGAAGTACCAAGGAAACAAATGCATTAGAGAAAAAAACAATCAAGAATGATTCCTTCAGCCATGAGACCTGCATACTCTCAAAATTATGAACAATGGGTAGAATCCAAGGCCAGAAATTCTCATTCCTTCAGTGGTGCCAGGCACACAAGCCACCGACAAACAGTATGGAAAATTCACTGCAGCAAAAGCAGGGGCAAAGCTTGCATCAGTGCTTTAGAATAGACAAATATGTTGTGTAATATATTCAGAGCTGTCAGCCCACAAAYCTGTCCAGGAATTATGATACTCATGATCTGGAAGACAAAAAGGAGAAAAGTGAAGGAATGGTTTTACAAAGAGAGAGGGGGACAGAGAAGGCTCTAACAAATGATGCTACAAAAGGAGCACACTGAAGAAAAATAGTCATGGAAGCAAACATAGAAAACATTGTTTGAAATGTACATTTTCAGAATTCAAGAAAGGAAGCAAGGACCTCTGATAAAAAGTTATCTTTCTGTGACTTTATAATTAATGATCTTTATATTGTTGCCACAAAGAAAATGTCATCCTCAATCCAGATTTTGATGCAGAAAGAGAACACCATCTATCCCAGTTGAAAAAGTATGTCCATAGCCTGTCCCACCAGAATAAGATGCTACTGTAGGCATGCTGTACAAAAATTAAGGTAGCACAAAGAAAAGTACAAATTTGATTTTCTCCCCTCTTTGATGGCCTTTGGGAAAGACAGGAGTGTAGAAGAAACTGTATTTAAGCTCAGGGGCAAACTGTTWGTCTGTCTGGGCAGTGGGCAGACCTAAAGCCCTGGGCATGAGCTCTGCACAGTCACAGAAGGGCCATAAGCCAAGAGCTGTGCCTGAGGTGCCCCTCCAGACTGAGGAGAACAATGTGTGCATTTGTGTTTTCTGGTCTGCATTGCTGCTTCAGAACTGAAATCAGCCACAGCTCTCTCTTTTCTTTCAAGAAGCTGCAAAAACATTAAAGTTGAGTTTTGGAGAGGCTCAGGAATTTTCATGTATTATTCAGATTTGAACATTTAGGAGGAAAGTAGCCATTTGTCAAACAGCTGTGGTACTCTCGATATATTTCATGAAATACTCAATATAAATTYGATGACACATCTATGAAAGCCTAAGACTACCCCTTGAGCCAGCTCAAAGACAGATATTATCCCCKTTTTTTTCCTTTTTTATTCCATTCCCAAATGTATTAGCATTGCAATTAAAAATCAAGACTATTTTGTGACTTACRGCAAGGCATCTTCCATTATCATTCATAGAGGTATTATCCTAAAAAAAAAAACCATCAAATATTTTATTAATATCTCCCAGTAACTGCAGAGGTTTGTTGAGYGGGAAGGCCCAAGGACAGCAAAGCTCCAAATAGCCATCCAAATTGCAATCCATTTCTACATGTGCCTTTTTTTTTCTTGTCTCCTTTGTGTAGTGTTTTAAGGATCCCATAACTGGACCATTATAAATTGACAAATTTTGAGAATAACTTTAAAACTATTTCCTTGAGTTTACTTTAAATGTTTCACTTCATGCAGTAGCACAGATCTGGAGAATGTGCTCAAAAATAGCCCTCAAAAAGGCCTGCAAGGCTCTCCAAAACAGTTAAGGTACCTGTTTTGGTTTTCAAATGACCAGTTTGATGTCCTRTCTTCTAATTAAGGAAGATCTGCCAGCAAACCTGCAGCCAGTTCAGCCACACAGGTCATAACAGTCTTCAATGTGATCACTTCAGAATTAGGTCTTTTACTTCTGTCACTTCKCCTCGTTTCATTCTTTGTTCAGAACCATACTTTCAGAAAGGTGAAAATGGTACTAGAGTTGGTCAGAATTAAATTAAAACAAAACTGGCATAAAATAATGGGATTTCATAACATTTTCAGTGTTTTTTCACTGAACTTCAGCTCACAATTTCTAYGTGATACATGTATATGTGCGTACATGTGTATGTGCAAGAGAAAGAGATACAAGAACAAAATTAGGAAAGTTGTGACCATGCAAGATCAACAATTACAGAATTTTCAGCTATAGAGTAGTTTGTGGAGATCAAGAAAATGCACCTGCATTTCTGTGGGGAAACATTTAAAAGCATGCAAGAACAACACCATCCCTTCTGTAAGCATGTTTTTAAAACTTTCTAATGAGAAAGAAATGGGCTGATTTAGAAATCAGCATCTATAATTTTATATCCAGAATTTTGTAGCTGTTTAGAGGCATTTGGTAGCAGCCTGCATGAGTGTGTCAGGCAGAACAGCCAGTGTGGAGAGAAACACCCCTTCAGCCACCCATAACTGCAGGCCAGATCTGGGCTAAGAGCATCCTACAGTAACAGGCTATAGTTGGCAAAAAAAAAAATTAAATGGGAGAGATATTGTCCTATAACACTGTTTTAAAAAAATACAGTTAACTTATTATTATTTGAAAAAATGTGAAGTGAAACCTCTCTGCTGTTTAAGGAGTGGTATTTAGTGAACTGTTGATTCCCACCGAGTTAGTCAAGGCAAACAAGAGTCCCTGTTGATGGGACAGATATTCCACAATTTTCATTGCCTGAACTGTAGGGAGCACCCCAGCTATGAGTAGTGTAGAACACGCAGATTCAGTAGCTGTACCATCAGATAAAGTATTTTGATTTTACATATTGAGATGGCTAAATAGATACGATATGAATAATAAAGTCAACTTCAAAGATACATAGCCTCAGTTAAAAGAGATGTAATGCAAATATTGACTTTTAAAACACAGTTAATTTTTTCTGCCTGTTACTGTGATATTTTCTGGGTTTTCAATCTCATCACATTTATTTGGTGGTGACTTACTGTTTCTTACACATTTTTTGTAATGCATGTATAGAACATTAAAATTTGGACACAGGGTCCTCAACAAAATGTGTTATTGTACCTTACTATTAAAATTTTTCCACTGCAATTCAGAAACTGGACAATATTAAGTCCATAGCTCTTAGTAAAAGCCCTTGATTGCTGAAAGAATCACTAAAAAAAAATAATGATTTATTGTTCCCTCTCAATTGCATCTACAAGTTTCCAACACATTGCTTTATTATTTGGCCTGCTTGGACGCAAAACATGAGAAAGCAGTTGTTGGAGAGACCTTCTAGGGTGAGAAAATTGTTTTTCTGAAAGCAAGCCAGAACAAATAAGATTACCAGTGAGATTACTGGTGCACAAAATCGTACCAATTGATGCAGAATTACACCACTTAAGAACTCAGACTATTTCAGTTGTAGTTCTCATGATATTTAGATTGTTTTTAAAAATAAGTAAATTAATATTTGGCAAAATAGTCTCCTTTGTAGCAATAAATAGTAACGTTTAAGATAAAATTACCAATATTTTCTCTACTCTGAATTATTTAGGGTACTTTGAAGCTAAGGTATACATAAACATCATATGATGTTGAGCCTGTTTCTAAGACAAAAAAATCTTTTCTCTAATTCTCTGAGTTAAAATTTTTACTGTTACCATCTACTTAGATTGTARGTGCAAGTACTTCACTAAAATCCCCTCCCCTGTGGAAGGCAGAGCTGTAATCCAGCACATATCCTACTACTGATACCATCTGAAATAAAACACAGATTGACACATTTAATTAGTATGTTGCTCATACCTCTACATTTTCACCCATGAAATATTTCACTTTCTATTAAGCAATACAAAGTAAAGCTGTCGACTTTTCAAATACTATAATATTATGCAGCTCTAAAACTTTTGCTTGTATTATTTCTCTTAACTCTCTTGTCGAATCTGATTTCTAAAGTTATTATCAGGCTACAATATCTAAGATATCTAAGATAGTTTTAAGATGCCACGTACTAAAGTAGCAAATCTAATTAAGATTAAATATTTGATCTAATAATGGAAATAACATTATCTTTTATTTCCAGATGTGCATACCATATAATCCCCATCCAACAGCATGCTGAATTTCCTGCCTGTGTTTGCCTTCTCTTTTTTGCATAATTTTTTCAGATCATTAATACACAGTTTCTGATTAGAAAACCTTGCAGTCTCATACAGATCTTTTTACTTCAGCAAAGCCGTATTGCATTTTTAACCACTGTTCTTGGTTTCYAAAAGCTCTAGACACACTGCCCCTCTCAAATAATAATGCACCACCTACAGTTCCAGTTCAGTAATAACTATAAAGATGCAGACATTAGCACAAGGCATGTTTTAATATTCTTATTATTCCATTATTAAATAATCCTTCTTATAAAATTTATCAATATCATAGTCAGTGGTCTTAAGTGAATAAGATGGTTTTCCAAGATTACAGCCTTAAAAAAAAAATTGAAATGTGTTTGAAAAAGCACGGCCCCTTTTCATATGTCTCAGGAAGAGGAGGGAGGTGGAGCTTCAATTCTGGTTTTAGTGCAGTTTCTCCTGTAGATAAACTCAGACGTATTCTCTTTTGTTTCCCTCCCCTGCTATCTTACAGCCAACGTGTGCGACAATGARCTCCTGCACTGCCAGAACGGAGGGACGTGCATCAACAACGTGCGCTGCCAGTGTCCCCCGGCCTACACGGGCATCCTGTGCGAGAAGCTCAAGTGTGAGCGGGACCCGGGCGGCTGCAGCCAGAGCTCGGGCCAGGGGCCGGGGACACACGGGGCACATGGGGCACACGGGGCTGTCCTGCTGCTGCTGCTGCCCGCTCTGCTCGGGGCCACCGCGCTCTGCTGAGGCTCCGTGTGCTGGGCTGGGACTGCTGCACGGCCACGGCCACCTGGAAACAGGACACAACCAGGCCTTGGCCACTGGAACCCAAAAGGGAAAAATAGAGAGAAAAAAATCATAACCACATACAAACTAAAAGACCGAACTGAACTAAGCCATATCACACGGTTACGAACAGGGCTGCGAGTCAAGACTGTTCACCTCTGGCCCCAGACACGTTGGCAGCTGCCTGTTCTGTCAAATCAATCAACGCTGGCTGCAGGACTGAAAGGCTTTGACAGCCCCCAGAACRGGAAGAGAATTCCAACAACATTTGCTCCTCCTCTCTGGTGCGCTACCGCACCTCCGCCCGGTGTGTGGACCGACCAAACCAAGGCATTCTTTGCTGTCAGTGCATTGTGGGTATAAGGAAATCTGTAAAAGCTGCCATATTGGCCTGCTTCAGTCCCCAAATCCTTTCCAACCTGTGCTTTAGTGAACGTTGCTCTGTAACCCTTGTTGGTTGAAAGATTTCTTTGTCTGATGTTAGTGATGCACATGTGTAACAGCCCCCTCAATAAAACTCAAGCCAGTCATATCCTTGTATACCTTAGCAGCACTGCATCAGTAAGATGCTGTGTTCACCTACTGTACAAGAGTGGCTATAGGACAAAAAGTGTATTTATCCTTTTGTATTCAAATGAAGTTATTTTTCTTGAAATAATGTACAATGTAGATTTTTTGTATTATTGCCTATTTGTGTTACCAGACAATTTATTAATGTATTTAATTCTAATCAGATAAGAGAAAACTATTACTTTTTCTTTAGTCCTTTTTTCTTTTTCCTTTCATTTAATTGTGCAGAGATTTCTCTGTATGGGCAACGTGCTGGCATCAAAGAATATCAGTTTACATATATAAMAAGTGTAATAAGATTCCACCAAAGGACATTATAAATGTTTTCTTGTTGCTTTAACACTGGAAGATTTCAAAGAAAATAAAAATTCCTGCATAAACAGTTCCAGGATCACGTATTGCTATTTTTAAAGGCCTTTTTAGAAAACAAACATACAAAAAACTTGCTGATATTACCATCTAGTATGTGGAAGAAACCCAGATTCAAAAGTGGAAATTGTAACAATCTAACCTGGCTTTAATTTTACTACTGTCATAGTTTTGCAAACTTTAAATGCAAATGGCATCATTTGCTTGAGGAAGATTTCATCAAATCCGAAGATTGAAAAAGGTACAAAAAGTTGAATAGTTCTCATCTTTGGTCTCCCAATTGATCACAAGCATTATTCCAAAACTAAATTACCAGGTATCATAGAAGCTGGTATTTAATTCATGTCCTTTCTGTGGATTCTGGCAATAAGCAGATAGAGCCACAACTGATATTGTTTCTCCAAAAGCTTCATTAAAAAGATATGTTTATATGTGTACTAGTCTGCTTAAGAAACTGCAAAAACAGCAACAATCACAAAAAAAGCACCAAGATTTAACTTTTAAATAAAGTCAGATTTAATATTTAGAAGGAATGTCAAAATATACAGCAGCAAGTAGATAAAAAGTGCTGCTCCAGCAAATAAAGTTTGTTTCAAGTATCGCCCAAGGTGTAATAAATTCTTGTTACTGCCTTTTATTAGGCCAATTACTGAGTGTGACAGAAAAGAATAGCAAGACTAGAGAGGCAAGCCAAAACCACAGCAGTGKTTCAAAGTCCTGGGAAAAAAATAAAATCTAAAGGTAGCAAGACCATGTGAATTCATTTCCTGGCAATTTTCATCATAATGGTTATAAATATTTTACCAACATAATAGCCTAGTGTGGAAAACAATTAATCAGCAAAAGAAAAATTCCTGAGAGGAATAAATTCTACCTGGCTGCCTCTTTCAAATGGTGAACAGGAGAATTTAGGGCACTGCTTTCTTGGAGAACCTCTTTCCGCTGAGGAAGCAAGTTTTGCAGGACAGTACCCAGCCTCCAGAAGTGGGTAGGGAAACCAGGTCTTCATTCCTAAAAAGAAATAGGATTCTAAAAGAATACGATGAAGATGCCGATGACATCAAGCTGCTGCCTCTTCAGGCTGTCGCCCTGACCCTTCGTCATGTAGCAAGTTTGCTGTTCACACTGCCACTCTTTTGTGGGCTAAATGAGACAAGGCAGAGATAAATGAGGTGCTTTGCTGGTTGCCAGCCATGGCCTACATGAAATTGCAGGTATATTTTAGAAGTTGTCCATTAAATAAACAGAAAAGTATATTAAGCAGACTCAAAGAGGAATACAAATGCTAATGCAGGTGAAAAACAGAGCTGGAGACTACCTATAATTAAGTAGATTTCTAATATTAAGAAAATTTAAATTCCCCATTTTATCACARACCAAGTTCAGATTGTGCAATTATTGGAAAATATGTGCTTTAATTGTCATTATAAGCTCAAGGCTTTGGGAAAGTGCTAACTAAGCATGTTATGCACATTTGCTTAGAAGGGATTCTGCTGGCAGTGCTGAAATATGATGAATATAAGATCTCAATCAGCTCAGCCACATTTCAATTTCATATACTTAAGATCTTCTAAACCAGGGCAGAGTTTATGGCTTTCCATATATTTAGGTACCCTTTCTTGCATTTTATCCTCCCTCACCTATTAATAATGTTACAATTTTATACAAGAGCACATTCAGCGGAAAGTCTTTTTATCAATAGCTTTTTCTTCAATTTCATTATTTTTAACTCTAAACTCCACARAACTTTACTAATTGAAAGTCTGTGTAAGTTTCTGCTACTGTATTCCATGTATACTTCTAAAATTACGTGTGCATCTTTGAGAGAGATTTACAGCACCCAGCATTGCTTTACCTGCATTTTTTTACTTAATTCAGTGTAAAGTGATGGCAGAACTTGTTCCTCATTTCAGAAGCTGTGAAGAACAACAGATTCCTTTTCCATAATAACATGCAGTCAGCAGTATCTGCTTCATTGCTCACCAGAAAATACAGACCCTTTCCAAAATATTTAGGTTTCTTRGAATGGCTATCCTCCCTCAGAGAATGCCTGTAAAATAGCAATACATTTATGATAGTGAAAAAGGACAACCCAATCCCTAGCCTAGGATTTTAGTTCTGTATCAAAACGCAGCAAAAGAAACTTATTATGGAATTATCATTTTCTGCCTGATATTCCTCTCCTGGAAGGTTTAGCATCCAAGAACTGACCAGGCTTTACATTGCTTAGTTGTCCAGATTATAGTTCAGAGTCCAATGACCTTTAAAACTAGCATCCATCGTTAGATTTCTTCAGTTACATTAGTTCCAGTTGCTTTGCTAAATGAGTCAGTCCTAGTCAACTTGCTGTTCCTGTGTTTGTACCTAGAGAATTGGTTCTGATCCAGGATACACATGTGTAACATCTGAAAATGGGGCAGCTTATGAYAAAATGCTGCACCCTGACGAGAACTGCAGAAATTTCCACTTCACGCCAGCCATCTTTCTCACAGGGAAATGAAGAGAGAGGTATCTGTCTTCGTGCTACCTGTTTCAGAAACAAACTATCCAAATGGAAAAAAAAATTGTCAGATGCAAACTGACCCCAGCTATTGCCCTCAAAAAATAATTGTTCTAATACTTTATCATGACTGAGCCACAGATGAGAAGTTATTTCATGTAGTGAATGGAACAAAAAATAATGTGCAAAAGACTCCTCAAATTTAGAAAGAGCTCTTCTGTTTGCATATAATTTTATACATCTTTCTCATAACTCCTAGATGCTAAGGGGATTTGTTATAACCTCATTGGGATTCTAGGTTTATTAAACCATTGAATTAACTAGATTCATCCATGCATGCAGTTTATTCACCTGCAAGAAATGTGAGTAATACTTTTCATAGAATATGCAAGACCATATTTCCAGGCAACCTTCAGCCTAGCATTCATGTTTGTCCTTGCAAATGCCAAGTTACAGATGTAAATATTAAGACATARTCAATTCATTCCCAAGAAAAACCGTAAGTTTAATTATTTATGGATGCAAACATTTATCCACTACAATGCAGATCTAGTGTTATAAATTAGAAATTTTGTATTAACCAACAATACCTTTCCCACCGTCTCACAGTATCAGAAAGAAGAGGATATAAGTATATGCAAAACAAACAAGGAGAACAGCAGCTTCCTGCACCATATGGTACATTTCATTTAATGAAATGAAAGTTCATCACCAGAGCAGTATGTTCACCAAGACACCATTTCTGCCATAATGTGCAACTTATAAAACTCCAGTACGAAGCATATGTTTCTCTTGCTTGTTTTTCTGGCCATCATTACTGTACAGACAATGAAATACTGYTTGAGACATTTTACAGCCTCAATCAGTACAGAGAAAACTGATGTATGCAATCAAGACCTAAACAGATTGTGAAGGCTTCAGCCTTGAGTTCCTGCACACATTGCTATCCATTGCTCATCCCTAAGGACTGGGATAAAGATGACACCATGGGAATGGGAGCTCCACAGCAGTGAGAGAAACAAAGTGCCAGCCTAGGTAGAGAAAGCACCACAGCTTGTGTGGTGGGGCACATCTCACACGGGGCACACCAGGCACGGCTCCCCCAAAGACGCCTTGGCCCCTGTGTGCCCAGATGTGTCTGTTCCAGCTCCAGTCACCAGGACACCTCCTAAGTACACAGTGGTGCCCAGGGGAACTGCTGGGCTAAAGCATAATACCAATCACATTTATAAATTGAGACTGGTTCATCTGATAGAGCTAAAAACGTATTCACAGGAAATGGAATTCAAATATTGAAGTCCTCAGTTTCACAGTGCAGAAACTTGAAAGGTTAAACACAGAAATGCAGGTTGGAGCCCACACTGCAGATATAGGTTACTGAAGATGCACACCAGCAAGATCAAGATGAACTAGAACTAGAAATGTTGTTCTCACTACCRATTAGACACAAGTGTACATGAAAGGTATTGAAATCCAGAGGAAAAGAAAGCAAAAAGGAAAGAAAAAGTCCACATTTATCAAGACTGAGAATATAGTGGAAAACTCAACATTGGGAGAATGAAAAGAAAGAGAACAAAAGCTGTACCCAGACTAAAAACATGCTAGAATCCCAGGGGGAAAGCCAGTTTAGGTAGCACACACATTCTCATAAATCTGTAGGCACAGAATTTAGCATTGCAGTCTCTGATGTGGCAGTYGCAGTACTTGAGCCTCACACAGCCAGAACCATCTTCACCTGAGGATTTCCCGTTCTGTCCTGTGATCCACTGTTGACAGTGCTGCTGGAAGACCCCAGCCCCACCAGCAGCCCCYGTGCTTTGTCTCTGCTGTGCACTCAGCAGCACAGCTCTGCCCATGCAGCCCAGACCTTTCAGCACTCCCAGGACTCACAGGCTCGGGCACAGCAGAGTGAGCGCAGTGCAGGATCCCCTTGCAGGATCTGTGTAATGCCAGCAGTTACATCTGCCCTATGCCACACACTTCTGAAATCTCTAAAAATAATCCTTATGAGGACATAGGAAATTAAATGTGTTCAGAAGAGAATATTTTCCCTTCAGGCCTTCCATTGGTATCTGCAGTCTCCAGGTATAAGAAGGGACTGGAAGGCYCTCGATGGCTATTCTGGCTCACTCAATGCACGTCTCGTTAACAGCTCTYACCTCTAATTACTGTTGCTTGGCAGGATGGGAGAACTGGCATGTAGAACACCCTGCTAGTTACATTTATTACACTGCTTTCTTCTGCCACACGCCAGCTTGCTTTCTGCACTCATGTCAGAGCTTTTTCTATGYCCTCATAAATGATATTTCTTACTTTGCTCCGTAGATCTCCCACGGGCACTAAGTAGGTGGATTGGTACCTATGAATTAGTTTTGGCAGTGCTCTTTTGCCTTCCCAGATCTGGTAGAGGCACAAGGACTTTTACAATTTGCTCACTGAGTAGGATGCAGGGAAYGATGACTAAACTATGTAGATGAAGTGCTGAACARTTTTTTGACAGCTTTCTCGTTTACTGACAATATCTAACATCAGAATATCCCCCAGACTGTACTGAGGTTAGCCTCATGACACTACTGCAAAGCAGGGAGGCATGCTATTTCCATTTTATTCATAGGGACTGAAGCTTGAAGATGCTGAGAGACTTACAAACTCAATTACAGAAAAAGAGATTAATTCTGACACCTCGTCCACCGCAATAAGTACCGAGACCTGCAGTTCCCYACTCCATCCAAATAACACAAATCTGAAGTTAAATGGTCTCCCATCTGCATGTATTTGCCACCCACTTACTTCAGATTATCCCATCCAAGTCTATTTTACATTACACCTCCCAAAACCTTGGAGTTTCAATGTTGTGATGTTTAAATCACACATGTGATTTTGCTGGTTTGCTTTTTTTCTCTCTGGCAGTTCAGCTCAAGGCTAGAAGGAAACTACAGCCACTGTTTCATGAAGAGATGTTATATGCCAGTCAAAGTAATTGCAAGCATTTTAACAGACTGATAAATTAAAAGACATGCATATAGAAAACAAATTCTCTCCCAAAATAAAGAGATTGTTATGGGGTTCTGCCCACCCCCACCCTCTTGGCTGATTTTTATTTAACTAGATGTATTAGAGCTCACATAATAATAACATTATGACTTGATAAAT